GATTATTTTCAAGCTTCGAGAGCTCATTTCCTCTGCTGAATTGTGAACCTTCTTGATGCCGGTTTCCCTTCTTTTGCTCTAATTTCTCCCATTTGTAACGGAGATGTCTGTCTACCTGCTGCCTATTTTACCATGGTACTTTGGATATAGAACTCTGGATTGTTGATTTCACAGCTTCACAGATAAGAGGAACTTTGTGCCAGGATGAAACGTCCTCAAATTCTCATATGTGATTTAGATGACTCAGAAAATGAGATTTTTCACTTAAGAGCTGATAAAAGATCGTTGCGAGGATGTAATTGGTAAATGCACTTTGAATATGAGGAGGACATGAATTTTAGGGGTCCAAAGGGTAGAATGTTATGGATTGAATTGTTTCCCCAAATACATGTGTTGTAAATCCAAACCTCTATGCCAGTGATTATAAGTCCATTTGGGAATGGGTTGTATTTGTTATGTTAATTAAATGGGTTTAGCTTGAGTGTCCTTTAATCAACCTCTTTTGAGATAGAAAAGAGATTTACAAAGCAAGCAAAAGAAGTGGGGAAAGAGATATGCCAGACCACATGAAGCTCGCCCAGGAGCAACGGGTGAGCCGAGCAAAGCACCTTCCTCCAGAGCCTACAGAGAGGAAGAAGCCTTCCCCGAGAGGCTGGACCCTGACTTCTGATTAATAGCCTCCTACACTGTAAAAAAATTAATTTATATTTGTCGCAGCCACCCATCTCTGGGACTTCTGTTACAGCAGCACAAGATAATTAAGACATTCATTCACCAGAATAATTTAGCTAATGATTAAAGCAATAAGCTCTGGATTGCAAAAAATTAAGCTGCTGACGTTTCTTTACAAATTCTATAAAATACACTCTCAATAGCATCCGTGATGCATTTACAAAATTGTCAATAGATGGATTGACCGACTCTTTTAGCCTTATGGGGAATGTTTAATTTTAACTATATTAAACTATATATTTAATTTGACTTCATACATTCCACAAATCTCATTTTATTTTGAAAATTCAGTTTTGACAGAACAAAATGTGATAATTTGAGAAACCATGTTACTCCCTACTTATTAGGTTGGATGAAATAATACTGTGCAGAG